TTCCTTTGCTTGTGCGATCGCACCATTGTTGTCACAGTACAAGTCAATGGGATCTGCAACAAGTCAATGGGATTTACGCATGGCTCATCTTCGTTTTGCAGGAAGCCAAACGTTTTGACTGCCTCGTCAAATTGAAGATTCCAGCTCCTCGAAGCCTGCTTCACTCCATAAATGGATCTCTGAAGCTTGCACACCTTCCTCGGACTCTTAGGATCAACAAAACCCTCGGGTTGTGTCATGTACACATCCTCGAGCAAATTCCCGTTATGGAATGCGGTCTTGACATCCATCTGCCATATCTCGTAATCATAATATGTAACTATGGATACAGCAGATCCCGATTGCACAGCAGTCAACCAGATAACTCATCATGAAGATATTGACGCTGCTTTTTGCGTACGAGATTTGGAGGTAAAGAAACGGCCGAATCCACTGAGAGATACAAAACTCAGCTCATCAGCTTAGCCTTAAGATTGACAGATCGATGAGAAGCATCTTATTCTCCTTGCAGAGTCCGACAAATTCAGGCATGAACAACATCCTACAACATTCGTATTCTTTATTCTAGTCTTTTGGAATCACTTTTGCCCACTGCCCAGGGAAATCCCTTAGATTTTGTATAGCAATCTAATGTATACGGACTGAACTTTGTTTTTTTTGGAAGTAATACAATCATATTTAAACCAAAAAATAAAAACAAAAACAAGGGATTTTGTTCCAAAATTCACGAGAAACATTGCATCCATTCGTCTTCTTCACTCCACTTTGCCTTCTAGATCTCTTTCGTTTATTTACGTAATCACATTAAACTACAGAAAATCTACTGGGGGTAATGTATCAAATTAAATTACATAAAACAATTTTGGAATTTTAAATTTTCAGTTGAACGTATCGAATTAAATCTTAAATTCGAAAATTAAAAATTATATGACGTGAACTAATTAAAGGAAATCTATAGAAAAGTTGGCCAAAGTATCAAATGAATGACCTAAAATAATATCGGAGATTAAAAATTCGAGAGGATACAAAAGCAAGATGCCAAATGTATAATGTAACAAAGAATTAATAGTAGGGGTCCGTCCACCATAGATGTGCTCGCCTTCATGCTCCACGAACTCATATTCTATCTTGAAATTGCAAACCTTTTTGGATAAATTTGAAATTATATATGTTTTTTTATCTACTATTAAATTACTTTATATTACTCGTTAACTGTTTTGTTATTCCATGTAATTTTTCAACCCTTTTCCCCTCCATTTGAGCCTATAAATTGAGCTCCTCTATCGTTGCCTCCAATCACCAATCAAGCAAAACACACACACACATCTGTTGCATATAAGAGGCTGTTTCAAACAGAGGCTTCGAGGGGGAGAGAGAGATGGTGAAGAAGACAGACTTCCCAGTGATAGACCTGTCGAAGATCAATGGTGAAGACAGAGCCCTAACCATGGCAATGATCCATGATGCTTGTCAGAATTGGGGCTTCTTCGAGGTATATATATACATATACACATGCACATATATATGTACATGTATATACATCAATACACATGTAACGATTAAAACATTGGGAAAAATGAATGATTAAAATTGACGCAGTTGGTGAACCATGGGGTACCACTAGAACTACTGGACAAGATCGAGGAGATGACAAAGGGACACTACAAGAAGAGTTTGGAGGAAAGGTTCCAAGAAATGGTCAAAAGCAGAGGTCTGGATGCCCTTCACACAGAAGTCAACGACGTTGACTGGGAAAGCACCTTCTTCCTCCGTCACCTTCCTGACTCCAATCTCTACGACATCCCTAATCTCTCCGACGATTACAGGTTTGGCCCCGAAAACCCTAAACCCTTACCCAATCATATTTCATATATACTTATATAAAAGTTCTATATATATATATATATGTTTATATGTGTGTGTGAAAGTAAAACATATAACATATACATAACAAATAAAATTACGTACAAAGCCAAGACTAAATGCACTGTGTGTTTTTGGCCATGGTGGAGCATGGTGGTTCCACGTGATTTGTTAATCACATAGTTTCAAAGATTTTTTTTCCCAGTTCGTCGTTTTATATATACTTTATTTCTTGCCAATTATATACAATAATATT